ACAAATCGGATATAACAAATATTTCGGACATTCACCAAAGCGACTATGTGATTCTTGACTTCACCGGTGAAAATCGACATTTTCTTTATTTTGGTTATTCTCGGTAACAACATTAAATGTATGTTCTCCTCCTCAAATATTTTTGAATAAAGTTCTTTAAAGCCAGTACGTTTAACTAAATTTTGTCACATATTTATATTACTTTTATTTTTGAAATAATTTATTATTGCCGTAGATTATTTCTAATATGATTTTTAAAAAAAGAAATATTACTTAAAATACTACAAAAGAAAAAAGTTTTCAAAAAGTGATTATTAAATGAAAAGGACTTATCGATATCGGTCATCGACTTATTAGGAATGATGAAAAAGTGGCTATTAAGTTAAAAGAGTCTACCCATCACTGGCTACTAATTGAAAATTAAAATTTCAGGTCTATATATACTTAGAGAAAGTTTTACAAAAGTGGTACAAACTACACTCTCAGAAAAATCGGTTCAACCACTTACCATAAATGAGTTTATATTTCTTGCAATTTTAATAAGGTGTTAAATTAAACCACTTTTTCGTTCAAGTTGGACCATAGTATTGTGAAATGAACTATAAGAAGCGTGATAATATGGTGCAAATTAGCACCATATGAAGTTTACAGAAAATTTGAACGATTTTATGGCTCAATTTAACACTATTTTAAAGTTGCAGGAAAATTGGATGATATTATGTTTCAACTCCTGTCAAAATTTTCAGCAGTGTACTTGGATCTGTTTTCAAATTATAAAAACAGAGGATGAATTAAAAAAAAAAGTTCTTTAGATTCGGTCCCTTTTTGAATAAGCGGTTTACATTTCAAAAGAAAAGTGGGTAGTTTTACAAGCTATCCAAAGGCGTGGGAGCTGACACCTGGTACATCGCACCCTCCGGAAAACAGCTGATACAACCCCATGGGCAACATCGCATCATCAGGTGAAATACTGATTTCACTGCCATACTCTTCATTTGAGCGGGAAAGACAACCTGCTGAAGATACGCAATTCAAACTATGAGATTTGCCAGCTGAATATTGGGACTAAAGTTTTTGTCGCATGCCTATTTTTGACGTTGAATTCACGACTCTTTTTGAGTTTTGCTTATAATGTATAAAACTTTATACTACTGATAAAAAACTTTTTTTTCCATCAATAAATTATAAAATAATTACGCATGGCGTTAAGTGGAATAATAGAAAATATTTGAGAATGGTAAAAAATAGTTGCATTAAATACGTTCTTGGTCTACGAGATACAGTGAAAACTATTTATCAAATCCTTAAGTGAAGATAATTTTCCTGCAGTCTTATATAGAAAGTATATGCCTATATTTTTACTTGAAATGAATTATGAGTACATCTGTGCTAGCTGTTTATGATATACCTGAAGGAACCTGTTCTTTACCTGGTGTTGGGAATATTAATATGATAAGACTTTTAGAAAAATCGACAAATACAACTTTTTATCATGTAAGTAAAATAATGTATTCTTTAAATTTATTTTTCATCATTGAACTACTTTAAAAATTATTATAGTACGCAGTGTTTTTTAAATGATTATGTATTTTTTTCATTATTTATTTTGTTTTCCTTGAATTTTAAACTAAAAATAGTTTGAAAAAATGAAGATGGATACCAGATTGCTCAATATCGGGTAGTTTATTTATAGGTCAGAAAGGCGGAGAAGGAAATTTTAAGAATTTGGGAAGTACCAACAAGGAAACAATATCAGGGAACAGTTTGATGCAAGAATTTTAATTTTTGAAAAGGGCTGGCTTATAAAAAAAATTTCTTCAAGTTCATAGTTGAGTTATTAAAAATTTTTGCATTTTAAGCCGTTTACACTAAAAACCGAGTTTCAACTATTTTATTTTAGATAAGAGCTTCTTATGTTTTGACAATAATTTTAAAACGTATCGGAAAAACTTTTGAGAACAATCTCTCTTTTATTTTTCCGATTTTAATTTAATATATATATATGGGTGATTCTTTTTAACATGACAATTCGGACCAAAAAATTTCCTCAAATTTAAAGTCTTCAAAATAATTTGAAATTTTTTTTGTATACTTCTTTAGTTACACTTATCTTACAGACTGCAGTGTAGTTTATTGACATTTGCTCGAGAAAAAAAATAAAATAGAAATTCACCAAATCTTGAATGCCAGGAAAATGACATATTAGCTTAGAAGTTAAAAAAACAGTCATTTTAAGTTAATAGTAAGTAACTCAACTTAAACCTTTATGTTAGATGGACAATAAATTGCTTAAATTAATTATTTTTATCCGCTGTAGTAAGAAACAAAAATTTTTTTGTTGCTGATACGTACAGAATAAAATTGTGCATAATAATCAATCATTAAATGAATAAATAATTTTGATTACATCCAAGCATATTACAATCATACGTAAACTTGGTATTAGATTAATATTTGCTTTCCCTCCTTACAGTATTAGCTGTTAAAAAAATTTCTGGTAACACTTCAATGTCCTGGCATTCATAAGCCAGGATGACAAATTCGCCATTTTATAGAATATAACTTTACTTTAATTTCATATTTTGGCCTAAGACGTTTATATTCGGTAGAAAACAACAGGATTTCTTAAAATAACTCAGAAAAATCTATGTAGTTCATGTTATAAATGATTTCAAGAAGCCAGGAAAATGACAACACAAAAACCTACTCACCTTGAAAAATTTTTTGAAATAGATTTTGAACCAGAAAACTGGTTCTTTATTCAAGCAACAAGACATGTTCATATATAAGGGTATCTAATCAATCTATTAATATAAGATATTGATTGCTGGCTCTATCTATTTTGGTTATAACCCACTAAATAAAAGAAGCCAGGAAAATAACAGATTTTCTTGGGACAAACAAATTATTGACAGAAAAAATTATTTTAAACGAAGTTTTTGTAAATAATACCCTCTGCGTATATTCTAGAAATGCTTACATAGGATAAGATTAAAAAAATTAGATTTTGAAAAATGTATGGGAAGTTTTGAAGCTAGTTATTATTGGAAATATTGTTTGGGACATGCCAGGAAAATGACATTTTGATATTCAATTAAATTTTTTAAGTATACAAAACAGTCAATGCTAGTGCAAAGTCATTTT